TTCCTACAATAACAGCTATCATTCGAGCATTGGTATGCCGCCCTTTGAGCTGTTGTATGGTAGGAGGTGTCGGACTCCCATATGTTGGGGAGAGGTTGGGCAAAGGGTAATGGGCAGTACAGAGATCGTGAATCAGACGACAGAGCAGATACAACTGGTCAGGCAGAGGTTACTGACCGCTCAGAGCCGACAGAAGAGTTACGCGGATAGACGCCGGTCCGAGCTGGAATTTCAGGTTGGCGACTTTGTTCTCCTGAAGGTTTCTCCTTGGAAAGGAGTGATTCGGTTCAGGAAGATGGGCAAATTGGGGCCCCGGTTTATTGGCCTGTTTCGTGTGATTGCCAGGGTAGGCCGGGTAGCCTATCGGCTGGAGTTACCAGCAGAGTTGGGGCAGATTCACAACACTTTTCATGTATCGCAGTTGAGGAAATGTATAGCTGATGAGTCGGCAGTGGTTCCACTAGAGGATATTCAGGTAGATGCGAGCCTGAATTATGCGGAGAGACCAGTGGCTATTAGGGATCGGAAGATCAAGATTTTGAGGAACAAGGAGGTACCTCTGGTATTGGTTCAGTGGCAACATCGGAAGGGATCAGAGATGACCTGGGAGCCGGAGGGTATGATGCGGGAGCAGCATCCGGAGCTGTTTTAGAGCGGGACTTCGAGGGCGAAGTCCAGTTCTAGTGGGGGAGAGTTGTAACATCCGGATTCTACCAGGTATCTTGTAAGTTTGATTTTTTTTATATTGTGAGAGGGACTCGGCGAGTTGGATCTCGGACTCGCCGAGTAGGGACGCGGGATTGATCGAGGGTGCGCGCTTGGACTCAGCGAGTCCAGGGTATGGACTCGGCGAGTCTGCGCTGTGTTATGAAACCCTAAATCTCCGGGTTTGAGGCCTATTTAAGGGGCCTTATGGCCGTCATTGTGCTCACCCAACCCCCAGAGAGTGTTCCTAGAGTTCTTGAGCGTTTTGTGAAGGAAAGAGAGCCAATATTGACCTTGTGTGTGTTGTTTAGCAAGAAGAAGGAGGCCCTAAGCAAGAGGAAGCAAAGGAGGTTGCTATTTCGTGGATTTGGAGCTTGGATCATCAACCTAGAGGTATTATTTCGGACCATTTTCTATGTGGTGAAGTTTGATGCAATTAGGACTTAATGTGGTCATTTATGGGGTGATTTGGTGCCCCTTTGGTTCCCTCTTTGAGTTGAGACCATGGATCTGGATCCATAGAGGTCCAGGGGCCTCACTCATCAAGCTTTATGGGTGGAAATGGAGTCCTTGACCTTGTGTTGAAGTATTTGAGTCAAAAACATCATTTATGGTCATGAAGAGGTTATATGTGCATCAAGATTGTGACTTTACGTGCTAAATAAGCTTGGAGGGACTGGATCTATGGATTAATGGACTGGATCTGGCCTTTAGAGCAAGATTGAGTCAGTGCATGGCACGGACTCGCCGAGTCCGAAGAACAGACTCGGCGAGTAGCTTGAATGTTGCACGACCACTCAGCGAGTGGCCTCGCCGAGTTAGGATGAGTGAACTCAGTGGGTCAAGAGGGAGTCAGGGTGGACAGGTGGACCGAGTCAAACCGGACTCGCCGAGTTGTTCTTGAGACTCGGCGAGTTGAGTCGTGGTGGCCCCACAACTCGTGCCAGGTGGAGCTCGTCGAGTTGGGGGAAATACTCGACGTGTCAAGAGAGGATTCCAGGGAAATTGGTTCATGCGCACGGACTCGCCGAGTCGCCATAGTGCACTCGCCGAGTCCGGTCAAAGTTGACCGTTGACCGTTGACCAGCGTTGACCAAGAGTGACTGGTTATAGTGTGGACAACCCTAGTGGGGAAAGTGTTAATTAGAGATGTATTGTGCTATAGGGGGGACTACAGCTCGGCGGATCGAGTGTTAGCGATTTCAGGGTTACGATTTACCGAAACACGCGAGGTGAGTCTTCTCACTATACCTTACCTTGAGTAGGTAACCAGAGCTACGTGATAGAGCATTTGTATGCTATGTATGTTATGTGTTGTACTGCATGATTTCTATGTGATTTATGTGGTGCATGTTTATCAGAGTTAGAACCTGAGGGTTCACAGAGTTTGGGTGCACGGACCCACAGAGTTATAGCCTAGAGTGGCAAATATGTGTTATATGTGGTATTTTGGGGGAACTCACTAAGCCTTGTGCTTACAGTGTTGATGTTATTTGTTTCAGGTACTAGTAACGACCGCGGGAAGGCGCCGGCTTGATCCGTACACACACGTTTGGAGTTTGACATGTCGATCTTGGGATTTTGTACTGTTTTGTTGAACAATTAAATGGTTGTTTTATGAATATTAATGAAATTGTGTTTTATGTAAAAATGAAAAAATTGGTTTTAAATTTTCGGTGTTACAGAAACAAGATTCATATAAGGAAGATATGAACTTTTATATAAAGTTTAGCGTTGCACGCCAAGTGTGCGCCATGCTCGATGCGTACACTAGACACCCTGATTCATCGATATTGGAGAGACGTCGACCACCATGAGTGTGACACATAGCAGGCTCCAGATGGAGCCATGAGTCGTGTGTACACCGCACATGAAGTGAATCGTGCACATATGCACGATAACTAGAGGTGCTCACTTTTTGAATTCTTCACACCTAAAAATCTCTCTCTTTCTCTTGATCTATTATGGATGTTCTTCCAATGATGCAAGGCTTCGGGTGCAATAGCAATGATACTTCAGATCATGCTACTAGATTGAGTTCATGGCCCTATTTAACTATTTTTAAGGTTTTATGGGGGGGGGGGATACATACTTATCAAACTGCTTTATCAAAACATATTTATATATCTATAAATATCAGTAGGTATATAAAGCATGCAACCTAAGGATGACGTAACCATAGATACTCTACCTAGTTGTAAGCAATGATATTATGCCTAAGAGTTATGATGTCTGATGGTCTAGGAATTGATATTATTTAGATGTTATTAGGACCAATTTCCTAGGATAACAAAGTACCTAGAAGTAATGTTGGTCAATTATATGGTAATGCATTGCACTTAGTTGTTACTCTGACCTAATATTTTGTTTTCAAATTACCATAATCAGGGCATATATATATATATATATATATATATATATATATATATATGTGTGTGTGTGTGTGTGTGTGTGTGTGTGTGGAAAAATAATATGTATATATACAAAGATAATTATAAGGTATATAAATTGTAATTATTTAATATAAAGTAAAAGAATTATATTATGATAATTATTTGAAATTCTAAGTAAAAAGTCTAAAGAAAAGATAAAAGACCTAAGGTTAATGCGTTGGTGAGTTTTATTATTCATCTTTAGCCTAATTAAAATCGGCTACCCCGACCCTATAATCGTTAATCTTGTGATAGCTAGAAAGATATGTATAGATCTATATGGGGTTCGAAACCCCCTCCTGTGATTGCTAGCTACAATACCGACAGGATAAGTTTCTTTATATATAAGTATCATTCGACGTCTGATGAAGCATCGTGCAGGGGAAATTATTAGTCCACTATGTCGATTATGGAGCCTCATGGTAATACATTCCGACAACCTTAAGGGATTTACTACCTAGAAGGATGCCTTCGAGCAGTTAATAAAATAAGATATGATTGGTAAAATATCTTATAAAGATAATAAGATACGATTGGTAAAATATTGTATAAAGATAGTAAGATAGGATTGGTAAATATCCTATAAAGATAGTAAGATAAGATTGGTAGAATATCCTATAAATATAATAAGATATGATTAGTAAAATATCCTATAAAGATAATAATACAGAATTGGTAATAGTAAGATAGGATTGGTAAAATATCCTATAAAGATAATAAGTTGGGATTGATAAAATATCTTATAAAGATAATAAGATAGGATCGATAAAATATCCTATATAGTTAATAAGTTAGGATTGATAATATATCTTATAAAGATAATAATATAGGGTTGGTAGAATATCCTGTAAAGATACTAAGGTAGGATTAATAGAAGATCCCAAAAAAAGATTATGGAACATTAAAATTTAAAGTTATTAGATACAAGGAATGTTGGAAGTTACAATATAGTAAAATATAAGAGACAAGGAATATATAGTAAAATGATCATAATCATTGTAAAAATTCCTAAAAAAATTTCAAAAGCATTTATTATATGTTTATCTAAAACATGTGAACTTACCAACATCAAGTTGACGTTTTTAAAACCGCGTGTACTAATAGGATAGAGTAAGGATCAACGCAAGGAAGGACAATCAACTTGAAGATAGATAAGTTTTATTTATTCCGTGTAATACACATCATTGATTTATTAAAAGGTAATTATGGTTTGTGCTCTATGATTTGGGTAATCTATGTAACCGCTGTCACCCCTCGGCATTTCCGCTAGCGGTTGGGGGAAGTCTGATAGAATGGTATTAAAGCTACTTACTATAACGAATTAGTATTTCCTTAGGAATTATGACTATAGCCTAAGATGTATACTCGTAAAATGTTTTTCCTAAAACCTATAAATAAAAGTATTATTGTTAATTACGCTACTGATAGACTACTTAAAGGAGAGGTGACTGGTTTGAACTGTTACTTGGGTTGTTGGATTTCAGAACGGCTATACGCTAAAATGATCATGCCCTCCGATACTTCTCATCAGGATAATCCTTATTTTATATTTTACAAGTACAAAACAATAATAATTGCCAACCCATACCAATTAAATATAAAAATCAAGAACGCAAACTATGTAAATCAGTTATCTAGGCTAATTCAGCATGTAACTATTGAGTCATAAACAAACATAGTCTGATCACCTATGTTTACTCTTGACTGGAAAAATACACCAACTGAATTTGGGCTCAGTAAAGGATAAAATAGAAACCATACATACATATCTAATACGAATCAAAGTAAAGAGTATAAATATACATAAGTGTATCCAAAGACACCTCACAAAGTAAGTATAATAGCAAAATACAAACCAATATATCAAATCTCCCACCTACTCATCACTGCTCTCATACTCGCGCTCCTCATCCTATGTTCCTCCTCGTTGTGACCATCGATATCTCCTTGATATGTACCTGAAGGGCCAGCACCATCATGACCAACACCCCTCTGTTGGGCATTAAGGGGAAAAGCAGGACTTGCCTGAGGAGAAGGTGGATGATCCATTCCCAAATGTTGCATCACCCAGTAATCGAGAACATAATCCATCGATGGTCCTCCTGTATAGCATCCAAACGCTACATCACATCCGTAGAGGTGAATCTCGATCAACCTTTGGATACCTAGGTCTCTGTAGGCTCATGAAGGTAGGCTCAGGGATGTGTTACGACTCTATCTGTCTGATCAGCTCAACAATATCATTGTCAAGAACCCTTCACAGCCAATCAACCCCTCGAACCAATACCCACACTTTCCCTAGAGCGGATGTACCTATAGATTTGATAGGAATATGAACCATCCCACAAGTATCAACCTTGTAAGACAAGGCCACTCGAGTGACCTAATAATGAACACAAATCTTACACAAGGACAGAGAACCTAAGCCATACCAGGATGTAGAAAAGAACTCCCAATAGAGCATTTTTTTATATCACCTCCCAAATCCTAACAACCAGATGCCATCCCTAGCAAGTAAATAGCTCAAGAACGTAATCATCACAAAGAACATGGGTAAGGAATGGCTCCACACGAGCTGTCAACCTAAAATCATCCACGACACTACATGTAAGATCCTGGGGGATAATGGTCTTCTTGGACAGAAGAGTAGACAAGCGAGAGACAAAGGAATCCGATCAACAATATCATCTACAAAGTGTGGGAATGGATGTGATGGCAAAATAAAAGATGTGCATTACATGCAAGGAATCCGATCAACAATATCATCTGCGAAGTGTAGGAATGGATGTGATGGCAAAATAAAAGATGTGCTCAAGAACGTAATCATCACAAAGAACATGGGTAAGGAATGGCTCCACACGATCTGTCAACCTAAAATCATCCACAACACTACATGTAAGATCCTGGGGGATAATGGTCTTCTTGGACAGAAGAGTAGACAAGCGAGAGACAAAGGAATCCGATCAACAATATCATCTACGAAGTGTAGCAATGGATGTGATGGCAAAATAATTGACCAACAACCTGGTGACCCCGTCCCGACATATCTGTAAAAAATAGACAAAAGGCGCGCATTACATGCAAGTGCAAAGGTGCACATTACATGCAAGTGCATGCGGCGCACAAGCCACTGCACAACATGCTCCAAGAACACTAAGAACCACAGACTTGGATTTCTATTGTTTTGTCCAAATTTCAACACAATAACGACATAGGGATGATTTACTAGAGTGCAAAAAATAGTTTGTTTAATGTAAAACATTACTAATTGAGCGATTTAGTTGAAAATTTTAATAAAATTTCGAAAATCTAAAAACTCCAAATATGGATCAATGGATGCAATAAACTCAAAAGTAAGTATTGAAGGAGCAAAATTTGTAGTATAACAGGCCCAATATCCCATTACAAGAAATTCATCCAAAATCTACCCAATGGAAAAACTTGTAAAAAGCCCTAAAACCCAAAATTGAGCAAAATAAGGAGTTAGGATTAGTATAGATTGTAGATGTAAGTACATGAATCAAAGGAAATGCTAGGAATCAATGTCGAAAATCGAGTGTATGGCATGCTCATCCTGTGAGTGGGGACCGATCGAGACATAAAAGGGGGGGGGGGGGACCAAAGGAATGTTTAAAGATTGTGACAACCCTATATTTTCCAAAAGTAGTGTAACACTCAAAAGTCAAATACAACGAAGACTATTTGGAGTCAAAAAAATTTACCTCAAAAATAAAGTGTTCAAACATCTAAATTGGGATGCATCAAATGTTAGATATCGTGCCAAGGTTTCCAAAAACATAAAGAACATTCAAAACCGGGTTATATTGAAGAAATTATAACCACTCGAATATTTACGACACACCGTTAAAACGTTATTTAAACGTAAAAAGTGAAATTACAATAAAATGCATTTTTAACCTTAAGTATCTAAACAAAAGTGGTAGAGTTCGTTAAACTGAAAACGTACATAAAAAGATCGCCCAAATTGGACCTCGTATGAAAAGTTGCGCATTTTCTAACTTTCGTAACAGTAGTAGAGGGCTAAACACTCGAATTGAAGATCAAACGTTATTTAGATAACACAACCTAAACGAAAGTTGAAGGTCTCCACAATAGGAGTAAAAAGATAAAAAGACAAATGAAAACCGACATCGAATAAAAAAACTATGAATTTTTAACGAACTTTAGCAGTCCCGGCCTATTAAAAACATTTCAATAAAAATAAAGTCAAAACTAGCTGACGGACTCTAAATGAAAGTTGTAGAGCATAATCTCACCTACGCGTGGATATAAAGATCGCGAAAAACGGAGCCCGTACGCGAAAGTTACGGAATTTAGAAGGCGGGATCCGGGAGTACGCCCAGCATAATATCGGGGTACGTCCAGCGTACTAGGTGCAGGGTCGAGTCCCATTGGTTGCAGCTCTACGCCTAGCTAGACTCAAGTCGTAAGCCGTGACGCAAAGTTACGCCCAGCATAACCGAAGTACGCCCAGCGTAACACGTACGCCCAGCGTACGCACATTTCCAGCACTATAAACAGATGGCATAAGCTACGGATTTTGGCACACATTCTCAAACTTCCACTCACTCTCACATACTTTCAAGCACCAGAAGATGTCCCGACGCCCTCGGTTTCCGTACTTGAGCCCCCGACGAAGGTTCTACGCTACCGAGATCCCCGAAGAGCTCGATAATGCAGCTTTCCGCGGTTGAAGTTCTGCTCGACTCTCGCCCCACCCTCTTCAATCCAAACAAGTGAGTTCATACCCCTACCTTCCAAGTCTTTTTCATGTTTTAGGGGGTAATTACAAGTACAATACAAGTAAAAGTATCGTTTTATAAACATAAACGTAACATCTATCTTATTGATTATCGATACTAACATAATACTTTATGTATAAAGGACTAATATATCATCAAGTTATTTTCATCAAATGGAACATACTTTCTGAAAAACTATAATGGGTATAGTTATCAAGTTATTCATACATTCTTACGTATACATCTTGAAAAACGAAACACTTTCAAACAAAATGAAGTAAAGTCTTTCTTATCAAGCAATGTGAGATATTCAAACTTCAACGTACTCTTATGTATGTATTTCAAGCCCTGTATTGTATTCCATAATCTCTTGGAGGGAGAGCTTGATACTTGTGTATAGATCTATACGGGATTGACAACCCCGCACCTAAACGGTTAGCTACAGTTAGACCGGCAGGTCTGGGGTGACAAATGTCATAACACTACAACACCTGAAGAATGTTGTTACAGGCAGTCAGTGTCAAAAGTATGGTTATAAAACTCACATGAAAGTATAAAAACAAGTTTGATTTACGAGATTCATATATGCATTCAGTTTTCTACATTATTTTGAGCACAAAGTTATTCTTTATCATTCAAGTTCGAAAAACACTAACGCACTCCAACTTGGAGAACTTATCAAACTATTTATAGAAAATATTGGATTTTCTGAAAACTTCGTTCATTGATTTACTACCAAAAGGACATACTTTTCAACACAAAACACTTATGAACTCGCCAACTTAATTTTTGACACTTTTTCGAAACCACTTGTATTTCTCAGGGAATCAGTAATAAAGGTAACCACCAGCTTTTGAAGAAGGAACACTAAGGACGTTTATTATTAAACATTTACATCATCATATTGTAATATTCTTTTGGAAATATGTATAATGCAACAATATACGTTTTTATTATATATATGATGGTTGTGTTACTTTCTTTACAATATTCGATTGTTATGCTACTACATGAAGTCATCCACCCCTGAATGTTTCTTCCATTCTGGTTTGCGGGTGTGATAGATTGGTATCAGAGCATTGTTTATAGTGAACTAAGTATATTGAACCACATAAGATATACAAACTATAAATGCAACGGGAACCAAAAACCCTCTGACAAAACATTTTCATAAAAAAAAATATATTTTCTTCTAAATATATACATTTTTACTTGCATGTATCAGTCTCGTATCATGACAAGTTTTCTAAAAAGTGTTAAGGCAAGTTGCGACACTACGATTGGGCCTCGGGGTATGTAATCAACCCAAGAATAAATATAGCCTAATCAACTATATTTATCCTAGATATTGACCAATGTACGTCGAGGAATGGTCGTAGTGGACAACAAGCCAAAAACTTACCAAATACAAATTATTTTAGATTCGCCAATTTGAAATACCATAGGAGTATTGATATAAAGAATAGTACATTGAAAAACTTGCGCTCCGTAAGATATAGTTAAACGTTTGATGTCGTTAAATAGAAATTTCTTTTCTTATAAAATTCTCATACCTCTATCCTAGTATAGACAAATGGTCGGATTCCATTTACCAGGAGATCCCTACTACCCAAACCAAGGCAACAGCGGATGGATAGAAGAAGACCCGGAGGAAATCGAGGAGGAAGTCGAAGATCGAAGAGGAATTCAAAGTCGACGAGGAGGTCGAGGAAATTACTAGTGGAACAGACTCCGAACCGGAAGTGATCGACCCTCCTGCTCCTCATCCTCCCGAAGTCAGACCATATCACCCAGGACCCATCCCCATCTGGGGAAGCCATCTCTACTACTGGAGCCGCCAACTAGGTGTATGCCCTCCTTTCGGCATATGTCAAGATTTTTACGATGTAAGTGGGGGAGGCTCAGCTGATCGAGCACTTCTTGTTATTGTGGGCACTATGACTACCCAGAACTACCATGTGGACCAACAAGTAGCCAGAGTTCGCGACATCAATGCTGCTACTCAGGGTAACGCCGCAGACATCCGTCGTCTGGAAGAACTACACGAAAATACCCAAATCTACACAAGGACGCTTCAGAATCAAATGGTGAACGCACTAGCAGAAATAAGAGAGATGAAGGAACAACAACCAGATCTTGAAAGGCACCTGATGGGAGTCAAGCAGTCGGATGCCGAATCTAGCTACAAACGTGCAACACGCCGCAAGTAGAACTTGCTCAACTCCAACAATTTTGATATAGAATAAGACCTCGGATAAAGTTTTTCCCTTATTTCCTTTGTATCTGTAAACGGAGACCTCTAGATAAGTCGAATTTTCCTAAACAAGAAGCATAATGTAACACACCTTAGGTGTCACATATATATATATATATATATATATATATATATATATATATATATATATATATATATATATATATATGAAGTACTTCTTTATATACCTCTCGAAACTTATGGGATTAACTAAATTGTTGTACCTACTTTGAAACCAAAAACTAAAGTCAAAACAAATTACAAGATACAACTAACCCTCTAGTACACGATTGTCAAAACATTAGCAACTTATAGTATTCATTC